AAACATAAATTACAGTGCTCAAAAGCCATCCTGAATGTGGCCTCTTATTTATGTAATTTTTAGTAGAATACACTTTTTTTTTTTTTAAAAAAACTAGGCCTCAGAAAAGAAATTCTTTATGAAGAAAAAAAGTAATTAAAAGAACATCCCTGGGGCCGGGGATGTGGCTCAGTGGCAGAGTGCTTGCCTTGCACATGTGAGGCACTGGGTTCGAGTCTCAGCACCTCATAAATAAAATAAAGGTATCATGTCCATCTACAACTAAAAAAAAAAAAAAAAAGAATATTCCCTAAGATCTCAAGTAATCTAGATGTACTTAAGAACTTAAAATTTTTGTTATTATTATTATTGTCATCATTATTATGTTAGATAGCAAAGACTCTTAGAGGACTTTGAGACACTTTGAGATAGGTCATAGTCAAGTAAGTTCTAATAGAAATTTGTCTATAGCTGATGTTTTATCTCATGGCCAAGAAGGATAGATGCCAGGGCTGGGGATATAGCTCAGTTGGTAGAGTGTTTGCCTCACATGCACAAGGCCCTCACATGTTCCAGTGCCACAAAAAGAAAAACAAAAAATGATAGATGCCTTGTGGCAATTGTCTCTCTTTATGTTGAGGTCTAATCAAAATAAACAGAAAATATACATAGACTATTAGCATTTTAAAGGAGCTTTATTTCCTTTGGCTTACTTCTGAACTGAAATACCAAATGGAATTGAATTTCTTAAGTTTAAGAATTCTGACAATATGTTTTGTTTTATTTATTTTTCTTAAAATACTTATTTTTTAGTTGTAGTTGCACACAATATCTTTATTTTATTTATTTATTTTTATATGGTGCTGAGGATTGAACCCAGGGCCTTGTGCTAGGCGAGCGCTCTACGACTGAGCCACAACCCCAGTTCTGACAATATGTTTTAAATAACACTCCACTATGAACCTTTTAGAACTCAATCCAAACTTAGTGTAGCCATTTTAGTGTATAGGCTTATTTGCAAATTTTGAAATCTATCAAACAATATTTTAGACAAACCATGAATGTCATAGATAGATATAAGCATTACACATCTATCAGGAGAAAACACAACATTTTTAAGATGTGAAAAGCCTAAGATTTCTAGTCCTGGATTAAGGTTTTCTTGTACAAATGATTTAAACTCAGGAGGCTGAGGAAGGAGGATCAGGAGTGCAAACCCAGCCTCAGCAACTTAGGGATGCCCTAAGCAACTCATCTAGACCCTATCCCTAAGTAAAAATAAATAAATAAACAAATAAATAAATAAGGGCTGGGGATGTGGCTTGGTGGTTAAGCGCCCCTGGGTTTAATCCCCAGTACCCTCCCCCGCAAAAAAAAATTAAAAAGCTGCTGGGGTACTAAGGATTGAACCAGTCACAGGAGCGTGGGGAGCTGAAGCTCTAAATATTCTGATGGAAGAAAATTTCCAAGGTCACAAAACCCAAAAGAAGAGATTTTGTTCTTAGTAGCCATGGAAGAAGCAGTTTTGTTTTTCTGGTTTTGTTTTTTGATACTGAAATCTCCCTCATAGATCACAAGATAGGTCTGATTTTGGAAAACAACCAGGCTATGAGTGACATCCCAGTTAAAAGGAGGTAGCATGAATAACCCCAAGAGGGACCTAATACAATGCTTGTCTTGGGGAATCCCCACACAGCCAGTATGGCTAGGACAGTGAATGCATGTAAGTGTGACCTTGAGAGGAAACTGGACAGGGAGTCTGAAGAGAGTTCTGTTAAGGGTCAGAAGTATAGTTTAAAAGTTAGTTTGGGGGCTGGGATATAGCTCAATTGGTAGAGTGCTTGCATTCACAAGGCCCTGGGTTCAATCTCCAGCACCACACACAAAAAAGAGTTAGTTTTGGGGGCTGGGGTTTTAGCTCAGTGGTAGAGGCTTCACCTGATACGTGCAAGGCCCTGGGTTTGATCCACATAAAAATAAATAAATAAATAAATAAAATAAAGTGAAAGGAACAGGCTATAAGCACACAAAATCTGTGTCCTCTATAAATTAAGGAGCATCCTGTTTTTTTTTTTTTTTTTTTAAGTTAGGTTGGAGTGAATTCATGGAAGGAACTAGAATGTCAGCATTTAGAATTATAGGAAACTGTAATAGTTTTGGATAGAAAGTGACTTAATGAAAGCAGTGTCATAGAATGTGGAGTAGAGGGGGTAAGTCTATAGGCCAGATCTTGGCTCAGTTAATTGCAGTTATTTGAGCGGGGCACATGGTCCAGACCTAGAGTCTTTTACTTGGGGGCCAAGGGTAATTATGAGTCTTTTTGATATTGAGCATAAAGTTCTAGGTATGTACCTTCACGAGAGTATACAACCATCATTAGATAATGAAAGTTGTCTGCAATGATCACCCTCCTCCCCTAGTCCAGCAAAATAGTGAAGACCAAGGAAGGATTCCAGTAAAGAAGCCAGGTTCTGGAGTTAGACCACCTGAATCTGGTTTCAGGGCAAAGCCTTGTTCTTCTTTCCTCCTCATAGAAAGAGCTTTAGCCACATATTATCTCCAAGTTACACTGAACCTCATCTTCTCTCTGAGCCTCAGTTTCCCCCAGTGGGAAAATGTGGCAACTATTATTACTATTTGCTAAAACAATCGTTTTAGAGAATATTGTGATGCTTGAATTAGATAAAGACAGATACGCAAGGCTCTGGGTTAAATAACCAGAATATGCACACACACATGTGTGTGTATATGCATGTAATATATATTACAAACATACATGTATGTAATATATGTGTTATATATATTACATACATACACACACATACATGTATGTATTTATATATATATATATATATATAATTTGTGTTATGGTTTTTTTTTAATTTTCAAAAATCTTTCATTATGAAAAATTTAAACATTGAGCAAAAATAGTGTAATGAGCCTATAAACTCATTATCCAGATTCAAGAGTATGTTAGCTTTTCTTTTTTCTAATTTATTTTTTATTAGTTCTAATCAGTTATATATGACAGCAGAAAGCTTTTCAATTCATTGTACATAAATGAAGCACAACTTTTTATTTCTCTGGTTGTACACAATGTAGAGTCACACCATAAGTGCAATCATACATTTACCTAGGATATTGATGTTCATCTCATTCTACCATCTTTCCTACCCCCATGCCCCCTCCCCTTCCCTCCCTCCCCTTGGCCCAATCAAAGTTCCTCCATTTTCTGCACCCGCCATTATGGATCAGCATCCACTTATCAGAGAGAACATCTGGCCTTTGGGTTTTTGGGATTGGCTTACTTTGCTTAGCATGATATTCTCCAACTCCATCCATTTACCTGCAAATGCTATAATTTTCTTTTCTTTCAATGCTGAGTAATAATATTCCATTGTATATATGTACTCCAGTTTCCTTATCCATTCATCTACTGAATGGCATCTAGGTTGGTTCCATACTTTAGCTATTGTGAATTGTCAGCTGTAAACATTGAAGTGGCTGTGTCACTGTAGTATGCTATTTTTAAGTCCTTTGGGTATACACTGAGGAGTGGGACACCTGGGTCAAATGGTGGTTTCATTCCAAGTTTTCTAAGAAATCTCCATACATGTGTTAGCTTTTCATTGCTGTGCCCAAAAGACCTGACAAGAACAACCTTAGAGGAGGAAAAAGTTCACTTTGGACTCACAGTTTCAGAGGCCTGTGTCCATAGTGTACTCTATTGCTCTGGACCCAAGATGAGGTAGAACATCATGGCAGAAGGGTATGGCAGAGGGAAGCTGCTCAGCTCATGGCAGCCAGGAAGGAGAGAGACAAAAGGGGGGGGCGGCAGGAGAAGATACAGTCCAAGGGCACTCTTCTAATGACCTACTTCCTCCAGCCATACCCCACCTGCCTACAGTTACCACCCAGTAGACCACTCAAATATCTTAACCCACTGAAGAGGTTACAGTCCTCATGTCTAATCTATAAAGGAAGAAACTTAGAGCCCTTAATCTGTCCAAATCTATTTCTATGGCAGTAAATAAAACATATTCCTAAGCAAGAGCTCAGAAAGATATTTCTAGAAAAAAGGAGGAGTAGAGGGAAAGGGGAGGAGACAGCATCAGGAAAGTGCGTAACCCATCCCAGGTTCACAGCATCAGTTCCGCACAGGGGACAAGTGTACTTTTGTAGAGGGTCTGCAACAAGAAACATAGAGGTTGTATTTTCCACAGTCAATGACTAGGGGAAAATGAAAGACTCCCTGCAGTTTATATAATCTGGGATTCTCTAAGCACTGTGCACTTTTCTATTCTTGCATTTTGCTGTAGATGCATTACTAAAAATTTAGAGGCCGTGGACTTTCTCTAGGTTCATTTTTTTTTTCAAAGTGTATAGATAGGAGCCACTGGCTGCTCTGGAAAACCTGGCCCCAAGCTTTGGTTCCTGGAGACCTGGGAAGCATGGCAGGCTTTGACTTCAGCCTCTACAAAAGTTCAGAGCAATAGCCTCCTAGATGATCCTAGATAATCATACATGTAGTCACAAACAGCAGTGATTCTATAAACTTCTGGTATTAATGGCCTCCTAGATATTAGCTTAACTACTGGCTGTTGGATGTGGAGGGTTAGTCCAAGAGGTATTCTTCAAACATTTCTCCTAAGCCTCTGGAGAGATCTTTCTCTTCCTCCCTGAAAATTCATCTGCACAGTTCAGCATTGCACCTTCCCAGGAAAGATACCTCAGCAAAGATTAGACTAACCTGCAATTTAGAGACCCCAATTCTGCACTCACATAGGCTCACCTTCCTGTCCTCTTTGCAAGCACACCCTACTCATTGCAACTCCAAGCCCCTGTACCTTGTACGCCTTGGAGACTCAACCCACAGCAACTGATACATTGTATTGAGATCTTGGCGCCAAAAGAGAACCCTTGCAGCCTCACGTCAGGGCTCTCGTTTTGCTCAGGCAAACACAGGGGGCACTAGTTTAGAATCTTCAGAAGCCCACAGCTTCACCCATAGCACCCAGAGTATGGAGCCTCCTCAGGGCCACAGTCATGATGCCGGCGGCTTGCTCAGCCTAGGAGCTAAGGAAAATGGGGAAGAACAGCTTGGTCCGTTCCTGAACGGCATGAGTGCTTTAGTGATCTCCAGAAAGCGAACATTTCCTGGCAGAGGCGAGTGGACGGATTCTGTCCCCCAACCCCCGCCGCCCTCGTGTTGTACGGCGCCTTCCCAAGTACCCTAAGCCCCAAAGCCTTGATCTTTCACTTTTTCTCTTTGTGCTTTTTCCTTTCCAGGTGGAAAGCCAGTGGTGACCACCATTGCTGTAGAGGAAGAAGAGAAAAAAGAAGGTGTACAGAGTGAGCCTGAGCAGGGAGCAGAACAAGGAGAGGAAGGAGAAGAGGAGGAAGGAGCAGAAGATGAAGAGGAAGATGAAGAAGAGGAGGAGGAAAGAGAAGAAGAGGAAGAAGGAGAAGAAGAAGAGGAGGAGGAAGAGGAGGAGGAGGAGGAAGAGGAACGAGAAGAAGAGGAAGGAGAAGAAGGCCATGTTGGCGCCAGTGCTCAGGGCCCAATTGACGACAGGAACCTTGAGGGTGGTGGCGCCTACAGTGGTGATGAGGAGCACCAGCTGCAGCAGGAGGAGGGAACCCCTGAGGATGAGGGCGACGGGAGTGTACTGCCTGCAGACTTGCAGCAGCCCCAAGAGCACACCAGGTTCACCCCAGGGCAATTGCAGGAATTGGAGAGCATTTTCCAACGCAATCAATACCCCAACGGCCCAGTGAGGTAAGCAGATTGTCCTTCTGGGTGCCATTTGCTGGGAGCATATATTTTGGCTGTCTCCTGAGTCCTTCTCTTCCTTTCCTGAAATAAAAGTCCCCTCCTTGCTGCCCAGTCTGTTCTCCTGCATTTGGTTCTAGGGTGGGAATGTGGTTATGCCAACTGGGAATGAAGGTAAATATTTCCATACATTATTTAAATGAATCAAGCTGTTTATTGTGGATTTTTGGCATTAATTTTTATATTTGTAAATACATTAGAACATTATTTCTCATGATTATTGATGTTTTGGCCACCCAGTAAAGTTTGCACCTGAGAGAAAACTATCCCTAAAGCAAGCCTCAGAGTGGATATTACAGAGTAGCACACACCCGGTTGGGGGAGGCGCAAACATTTAAAAACAAACATGAAATGTACTTTGCCTATTTTTTCATCCACAATGCCAGATATTTAATATTTGCAATGTTTTCTCCTCAGAAAGGAGATTGCAAGACAGATGGGTGTGACTGAAGCCAGAGTGCAGGTCAGTAAATGTGGAAAAAAGCAATCTGGGCTTTTGCTGAGGCCCATGCCTGTGATCCCAGTGATGAGAGAATTGAAAGTTCCAAGCCAGCCTGAGCAACTTAGCAAGACTGTGTCTCTAAATAAAAAATTAAAAGGGCTGGAGATGTGGCTCACTGGTATAAAGTACTCCTGGGTTCAGTCCTTGGTACCAATAAATAAATAAATGGGAATGTAGCTTCCTGGTAGGGTGCTTGTCTCCAATGTGTGAAGTCTTGGGGATCCCCAGCACTGTGGGGGTGGGGGAGAAAAGAAAAAAAGCCGAACCTGCTTCAGTTTGAACTCATTTGTCATGAACATTGTCATGTCATTGATATATTTTGTTGCCTTCCCTATGTTTAGGAAATGAGGTTTGAACTTTGGGGATTTTTTGGGTGGAAAATGAAATGAGAAACCCTCAGCATAAGGAAATTTCCATCTCCAGAGGGTACATGACTTCCTAAAGGAACAAAAAAAGTCTGAAGTACTTTTTTTGTTCCTTACATATATATGTCTTAGTATAAATTATAAATGAATTCTAAATTAGAAGCATATTTATATATTACAAGTACATAAAATATAAATTATACATATGTATATAATAAATTTCGATTCCTTCTAACATTGGTTTCCTTTAGGTAGCACTTCCGAATGGAGTCATGTTGAGGTTAATTCTGACATGAGAATTATTCAAGTTAGTGTACCAAGAAGCTCCATGATATTAAATTATTTAAAACCAAGCATAAACTTTTTGTTTAAGGAGTGAACTTATAAATATTTAGGCATTGGAGTGAGGGAATAATTTACATCAAGAACACAACAGATGTGTAACTAATGTGTGTTTAGATAAACTGAGACTGATACGAACTGGGAGAGTATAAAGTCCAAATGCCTGGTCCTCCTCCTTTTTTTTAATGGTTATTACTGGTACATTACAGATATTTATAACAATGGGCATTTATTGTGACATTCATATACACACATAACAATTTGATCAATATCATTCCTTAGTACCTCCCCTTTCCCTTCCCTCCTCCCTCCCCTGATTCCCTTCCTCTACCTTTACTCTACTATCTCTCTTCCAACACTTTTTAAGTGGGATTCCATGTGGTATACATGGATATATCATAATTTGGTAGATTTTGTTCCTTAGTACCTCTCCTTGTCCTCCCCTCCTCCCTCCCTCTGGATCTCTATTGAATTCCCTCTGGTTTTGTGAGATCCCTTTTTTTTCTTTCTCTCTAGCTTCTGCATTTGAGAGAAAATATTTGACCTTGACTTTCTGAGTCTGGCTTATTTCACTTAGTCTTTTCCAGTGCCATCCATTTTCCTACCAAAGCTATAATTTCATTTTTTATGGCTGAATAAAACTCCATTGTGTATATATACCACATTTTCTTTATCCATTTATTTGCTGATGGATACCTAGGCTGGTTCCATAACTTGGCTATTGTGCACTGTGCTGCTGTAAACCTCGGTCTGTAGAATCACTATAGTATGCTGATTTTAGCCCTTTGGGGTAAATACCAAAGAGTGGGATAGTTGGGTCATTAGGTAGTTCTGTTGTAGTCTTTTGAGGAATCTCCATACTAATTTCCATTGTGGTTGTACTAATTTGTAGCTCCACCAACAATATATGAGTCTGAGTTTTCCACCACATTCTCATCTCATCAGCATTATTTGTTATTTGTATTCTTGACGGTTGCCATTCTGAGTACAGTGAGATGAATTTTCAGTGGAGGATGGTTGCTTTTTAAAAAAATTTTTTTTGCACCTGGACGGGAACATATCAGTGTAGTTTTGATTCACATTTTCCTGATTGCTAAGGAGGTTGAACATTTCTTCATATATTTGTTGGCTATTTGTAGTTCTTTTGATAAATGTTTAGTTCATTTGCCCATTTACTGATTGGTCCTGCTGTTGTTTTTAAATCTTGGTAAAGCCAAACAGAGAGTGGCAGCCCTACATTTAAATTTTCTGGAATATTTTGATGCATCAGCCTGAAAACATTACTAACATAGTAGGTTTTATGTTAAGGTGAAGATGAGAAGAAGATATACAATCTTTAGAAATGTGTCTAAAAAACAACTAAAAACGATTTTGGACAAATTTCCACTGACCTAAGAAAGGTAGAAGTGTTAGGCAACTATTAGAAACAGACATATGTCTTGGAGAAACTGCACACATTCAACTTTTTGAAACTACCAAATGCATTAGTGGCTGTTTTATTGAGCAGTTTCTAACATCTATATTTTTTCCCTTCCTTTTTGTGGTACTCCTATGAAGAAATGTGTTTTGTGGAATTCGTTGATAGTGGGGGCTGGTTGTCAGTTCAGGATAGATTCTGACCTGTGGTAATATGAAATACTTTCTCATTTGCTCAGACAGTGATAACTAATTTGTATGTCATTGGATCCCAAGGTGATTATTTGGAGGCCGTAGAAAACCGTAAGTTGTATCAAAGGAGTATTGGGAAAAGAGAAAAAAAAAAAAAAAGATCAGGATGATATTATGCACTTTGCTCCTGAGGAGTACTGTGGTGATGGAAAGGTGTTGCAGATCAGGTGATGGTGTGTAGAAAAGCAGCCCCACAAAGCAGGCCCCTGACCACTGGCATCCTAATGCCACAGGCTGGGCTCACATCTGTTGTCAACCATTTTGACATGACTATCTCCAAAAAGCTTTAATAGACCCCCCGGCCCCCACATTCTGTAAAGATAGCAAGAGCTCTTTTATGAAACCAATATTGGGAATAGGACCTAAATGTCAGTCCATACCATATTTAGCTCACTTTTGGCACTGGTTATGTTTATGAACCTTTAGCCACTGGTACATTCGAATCTCCCCAAACAAGTACTATTTTAATAGATTTTTCAATCTATATATTCAAAGGGAACTCCAGAGAGGAAGATGGGAGGGAGAAATGAGGCATTGAACAGGAAGAAGAGGGTTTTTGTTTGTTTGTTTGTTTGGTACTGGAGTTTAAACTCAGAGCTCTATTACCAGTTCTTTTTATTTTTTATTTTGAGACAAAGCCTTGCTAAATTGCCGAGGCTGGCCTCAAGCTTTCTGTCGTTCTGCCTCAGCCTCCTGAGTCACTGAGATTACAGGCATGTACCATGCCCAGCAAGAAGACATCCTTTGTCTCACAGATTTGTTGTTTGGGAACTTCCAAAAGGATAATAAAATGGAAACCTCATTAAATAGGATACTGAAGGGATAGTACAGTTTAATTGACAGGTTTTACTTTTGGTCTTTAAATAGTTAGCAGGTAGTCTTTTTTGATACCATCCCTATATTATTATTGATTGTCTTCAGAAATGCCTGTTTGGATTTCCCTGCTTTATAAATGTGGATAGGATTAGAATCTCCTATTTGAGTAGTAGGGCTAGTTGGCTGAAGGTGTCTAACCATGCTGAGAAACCATGTCTGTTGTCTCAGAACATGAGAATGTAGGGAGCTCAGAATCACCAGATCCCAGGAGACTCTGGAGGGTAGGATGGGTTAGAGCATGCATAATTGACAGTGCCTTTTCCCCTAAGAACTCTTGGCTGGGCAAAGGGTGAAGTCTAAATATCCATTATTCCTAAAGTTTAGAACATGAAAACAGAGTCCAGGGCCTCAACTACACTCGTGTCCCAGTAAGGCAAGCCACACACTCCATGGGGCCATAAGACCAGGCTTCCCTCAATATCATCTTTTTAATTTTCAAGAAGTTTCATAGGATAAATGACCTCATATATGCCCTTGAAGATCTTTTGTTTAAAATTCCTACTGAGGTGGGTGCATTGGCAAATGTTTGTAATCCTGGCAACTTGGGAGGCTGAGGTAGGAGGATTCAATTTTGAGGCCAAACTCAGCAACTTAGACCCTGTCTCAAAAAAATGTTTTATAAGGGGCTAGGGAAGCAGCTCAGTGCATGGGTTCCATGTCTAATACCCCCCCCAAAAAAAAAATCCTGTTGATTATTTCTTCACACTGAATATAGGCTTTTCAAAGTGGGGGCCATTCCCTTTGGTATGACTCTAAAAGGTACCTGCTTTTCATCAAGTGCAGCTCAGCTTCTCTATAACCATGGTGACACCTGACTAGTGAGTAGGGGTTGGTGGCAGCTAGAGAGTGGATGGTCAACCATCATGGAACAGATTGAGCAGACATAGCAATAGCTGCAGGGACCAAGTCCAATTTATCCGCTACAACTGCACAGTATTAAAGGAAGACAGTATTAAAGGAAGGAGGAGAGAGTCAAAGCAATAAGCCAAGCCAGAGTTTGGCATATAGTTGGAGCTCACTAGAAGAGGGTTATGGCATTAACTTTCCTAAGATATTTAGCAATAAGGAAATAGCTTCTCCTGATGCAATTGAAAATAATAAGGACATATGGAGTCACCTGTTGAGTTGTGTTGTTTTGCCTATGATGACATTAAATGCTCGATACACTCAATCAATCCTTTTTTTCCTCTCTCTCACCAAAGGTTTGGTTCAAGAACAGGAGAGCCAGGTGGAGGAGACGACATAGGGCACCAAGATTCAGAAATATGCCCTTCATGTGCCCAGGCCACCCTGTCACCATAATCTCGAGTGGCCCCTATAATACCATATTCATTCTGAAGCCAGATGGGACATGGGTTTGTCTGGAGCCACTGCCGCTCTGGTCGTCCCTGTTTCCCCTGCCACCCATAATGCCTCTGCCACCTATGATGCCTGTGCCGCCCCCGATGTACCTGCCTCCTCTGACTCGCCTGCTGCATCTGATTCACCTGCCGCCCCTGACACCCTTTCCTCACCTGTTCTTGCCTCCTCTACCTTTGTTTCTTCCGCCTTTGCCTCCTTTTGGCCTGGCTTCATTTAACGTGGTCTCTATTGTCATTGCCAACAATTCATTTGTAGTCCCCATTTACTGAGGAGTAGTCTGTGGGACCTGTATTTTCCAAAGTGCTTTGCAAATAGATACAAATTTTTCATAGAACACCATTAAGAGCAATTTACCAAATGCATGTTAGATGTGTTAAATAAAACTTTAGTCATTGACTCATTTAGCACTTGTTTTTTGCATTTCAATAAAGATATGAAATCTATGTATATTTGTTTTGTGTGCCCCTTGGGATTAGTAAGCTATGGATGGAAAGTGACATTCAAACCAAAGGTGAAGAGGCCTCTATTCATGCAGTTAGATCTTGGGGTCACCATCAGGCTGTGCAACCACACAAGCTTCCCAAGTGCCCATGGTAGGTTTACAAAGACACAACCTCTTCCATCCCCCTCCACCAATTCATACTCACCCCGTCCTACCCCATGGGGACCACATGCATGTGCAAGATACAGGGGGCAGGGGTCCCTAAGGAAGAAATGTGTTTCAAGGCAGAGTCAAGATCCATTCGTGCTGATGAGCTCAGGCCCAACAGACTCTAGGGGAAGCTGTCTAGGGGGGCTACTGTTAGGGCTTTAGAGCCAGGCACTTACCTGGTGCCCACCAAGTTCTATTCCCTGCTCTGCTTTTTTTCTGTGGAGGAGACATGGGAGTGGAATCCATGCTTGCAGGAAGATCCTGCCTCTTTAAAGGAAACCAAAAGATACTCCTTCCAGGTAAGGGTGAGGTTTTTGTCCCTTCCTGATCCACTACCCCCAAGACATGAAGCAATATTACACCTTCCCCAGCTCAGAAGTTGACTGTCAACACCTTCAACATCTTTTCAAGAACCTTAGTTCCAGCTAATTAAACCCTGAAAGGGGACCTCTTGGTTCAGTGCCATTGGAAGCAAGAAGATGGTCCCTGATAAATGATCAGGAATAATCCTTTCATTTAAATGAAGCATCTTGGCTTCGTTCATGCTATCTTCATGTAAAACTGCCATGGTGGAAAACAACTAAGATGAAATGAAAGTATCATGAAGGAAATCAAACCCATTTTTTTTAGTCGTAGTTGGACACAATACCTTTATTTTATTTATTTATTTTTATGTGGATCGAACCCAGTGCCTCGCACGTGCTAGGTAAAGCGCTCTACTGCTGAGCCACAATGCCAGCCCCCAATCCCACTTTTGAAAATCATTAAGTTCTCTCTAGCAGTGTCAGGCTTTGTAAAGATAGTTGTCAATTCAAAGTGCCAATGGAGGGCTGGGGTTGTGGCTCAGTGGTAGCATACTTGCCTGGCATGTTTGAGATACTGGGTTAGATTCTCAGCACCACATATAAATAAATAAAATAAACGTCTATCAACGATTAAAAAAATTTTTTTAAAAAGTGCCATTGGAATTCATGACACTGAACTGTGCACTTTATAATGGTTATAATAGCAAAACTTATGTTAATTATGTTTTACCACAGCAAAAGGAAAGAAAAATATACCACTAAAATTTAAAAAGCAATTAATTGGGAACACCATGGCCGTAGTGTAAAGTGATTGCCATGTCTGCAGATAAGGAGCCATAGCTCTTCTGGAATTTACTTTCATGGGAATTAATCATAGGCCAATTTCACAATGCTTGTTTCCAACCTGAAGGAAGTTTCTGGTGGAAGTGCATGTATTTTTTGCTTACCTGTCAGTGTTTTTCATTCCTATCTTCTCTCCTACCTTTATGATTGTGGGCATGAAGTGTCAGCAAAGCAATTACTTATAATGTACAGCCTTTGCAGATAGGAGTTCATTACTACACCAGAGAGGCCTGAGATCCTAGGGGTTAGTGAGGAACGTCCATGAATACACTATGTACTCATGTGATTGTTTGTTTGTTTTTGACATAGAGGAGATTATTTTTGTTGTTTCTTTTGCTATTGTTCCCATTATATTGTGCTTTGTATAACTGTTTATAGAAATCCTGAATGTCAGTACATATTCAGTCTGGAAATGGTTTCTGCTTCATACTTTTTGTACCATTTGACTACTTCCTGTCTTCATCATTGAAATACCTAGACTTCAGGGTTGGAGATGTGGCTTAAGTGGCAGCGTGCTTGCCTAGCATGTGTGAGGCACTGGGTTCGATTCTCAGCACCACATAAAAATAAAATAAAGACATTGTATCCACCTAAAACTAAAAAATAAATATTAAAAAAAAAAACACTTCTGAAGAAATTCCAAAAAGGACAAAGAAAGGAAACAAGAAGAGGATAGAAATTGAAATCATACTCTCTTCTCCCCTCCCTGGAGTGATCAAAATCATAAAACTTTTACAGTATCTAAAAACTTTCCTATAAATCCTAGAAAAGGAGATTGCCTATAATAACTTGGCTTTATTTTTCACCTGTCTCATAAGTTTCCTCTTAGGACTAAATCTGACAAGTTGTCTGGCTTTTGGCAGACTAAATTCTAAACTTCTAAGGCAAAACTCTTATACCTTAAACAAATAAAATCAGTAGAATTAGAGTCAGAATACCCTTTCACTTCAAAAATGTATTAAATAAATTGAAAGAGAACTTGAACCACTTATTGTTGAGGTAGTATATGATGGAACTTGTTCAAGGTGCTGGGTAGGGAACAGGTTACAATTTCTATATGCTAGGGCATATTGGTGGAGATAGTTCTGTTAAATTGTCACCTCCATATATATATATTTAGTTGTCAATGGACCTTTATTTAATTAATTTGTTTATTTATATGCAGTGCTGAGAATCGAACCCAGGGCCTCACACATGCCAGGCAACTGCTTTACCCCTAAGCCACATCCCAAGCCCACTCCATATTTTTATTAGTATTTTGCATCTGTTACATCCTTTACTCTGTGGCAAGCAATTGAATGATTTCCTTGGATGATTTTATTTGGTGGTCATACACTATTAGGATTTCCTAATAATGAGGTACTAGTATCCCCATTTAAAGAAGAGGAATTGTTTGCCCACCGTCTCAAAGCTAATAAAACAACCAGGATTGGCAGCACCACATAAAAATAAAGATTGTATCTATCTAAAACTAAAAAATAAAATATTAAAAATAAATTAAATAAAGGTATTGTGTTTATATATTAAAAAAAAAGGCTTAGGGAGGAAGGGGGAGCCCAGGGACAGGGATGGGCAGAGCTGCTGCAGAGCCTCCCCATAGGTCCAGAAACAGTGATCTGCCAGGGTCCCATGGAGTGATATGGGTGGGAAAACAGCTATACAGATTGCTGCAGTGGGTCTTTCAGTGTGGGGAGAGATTGGGCTCAGCTTTAATACAGCATGACTAAATGAGAATTAATTTCCAAGGAGCACGGTGTGGCTCAGTGGATGGAAAACTACGAAGTGCAACAGTGGTCCATGGAACGTTTTGAATATAGTTAACGGCTCTGCCTCTGAGACTTGTTTCAAAATGAACAGGTTTTTTCCTCTTCTCCCTCTCCCTACCCCCCCCCCCGCCCCGCCCCCAGCCTCTGTCCCATCATAGGCCCCTTAAGCACACACCCACCAAAGGAACACAGTAATTCAGACTTCAGGAATGGCCCAGAAGACCTGAGAAATGGCCAGTTTCCAAATTAACAAGTGAATTACAAACACACACCCTAATCTCAGGGCCCACCTAGAATGTAGCATTTGATTCACCTCTTTAAAAATCCTGGGGTCATGTCCCACCCACCTCCAAAGTTTGGGATAAGCTTATTCCAAAATCACAAAAGAATCACAGCTTCTGTGACCACAGTGCCCTGTGTTTCTCCTTTGCTAACAAAGCAGTAAAACTTATTTTTCCTTTTTCTCAAAACCATATCCTCATTGGGGACAAGGACTGAGCTTTTGGTAACATCAGCAGAGAGAATTTTTGAGATGTATAAAATTTGGATGCTGAGTGTGTGTGCCTGTAGTGGGGGCAATGGTCCAAATTGAAGTGCATGTATTGTCTGACTTACTCCTGGATTAAAGAAAAGTCACAATTGGTTAACAAGAAAAAGGACAGATTATTTTAAAATTCTCTAAGTAACTGACAATATCTTTATTTTACTGTTGCAAGATTAAGCAAATAAAACAAAAATACATAGCTCACATTAAATTTGTATTGCAGAAAAAAATGCATTTTGGAATAAGATTATCCCAACCAATATTTGTGAGGGAATTATAAAAATATTAATCATTATTTATCTGAATTTCAAATTTATTTGTCAGTCCTGTGCTTTATCTGGAAGTTCAAGTTTATCTGGCATTATTCAAACTCAATGAAATAAAAACGTTGATGGCTTTTAATTTTTTTTTTTCATATTTTTATCCCTTGGCTTTTGTTGTCGAACCCAGTGCCTCACTTGAACCACATCCCCAACCTCTTTATTTTATTTTTATGTGGTGCTGAGGATCAAACCCTGCGCCTCATACATGCTAGGCAAGCACGCTACTGCTGAGCCACATTCCCAGTCCCCCTATGTCTATCTTGATGTTTGCCTTTGACTGAAGTCTTCCTTACCATCTGTAGCAAACGCAAAAATTTAAAATTTAATAGATGCCATGACTTGGGTAAAATCAGACTGATCATTGGACTCCTGGACCTCTCACCCAGGACTCTGCAGATGCACATTTGAAGCTTTTTTTTTCCTCCACTCCTGGAGGTGTGGGACCCATTGCTCCAGGCAAACTTCTGTTAAAGATGGAAAGGACAGATTTGATGACTAAGATTTTGAGTACCCTCTGAAGTTGGGCTAGAAGGCCTCTTCTAGGCCTTTTTAAAATTTTTTTTCAGTTTTAGATGAACCCAGTATCTTTATTTTATTTACTTATTTGTATGTGGTATTGAGGATCGAACCCAGCACCTCACACATGTGAGGCAAGCACTCTACCACTGAGCTACAACCCCAGCCCTTCCTGACTGCCTTAAGTGGGGGAAATTCCTGACCTGGAAAATGTTTCCCTTGGTCTTTATGAGGCCTTTCTATTTTATTTGATCCTGTTTCTCCCATGGGAACATTTCAGCTAACTTAAACCTCCTTATTGAGCCCCTACTGACTATATA